ATCCTGTATGCTCCACACTGGTTTGTCGTCATTATCTGCATCGTTTTATGTCTATATTCTGATTTACCTCATTTTGTATTTTGCTGTGTGTGTTACCTGTTGTTCTGTCTGTACAGCACTTTGGTTGGCCTTGTTGCTGTTTTAAGTGCTTTATAAATAAAGTGGTTTGGTGTGTTGGATAGTTTTCAGTCACCTGAGCCGCGGTGAACAACGATGATGTAATGATGATGAAATAATGCTGTCGTGTGAAGGTCGAGAAGCAGCGAGTGCTCAAAGGTAAGACTCTAGATTACTTTGTGGTTTTTGGTTCCGCTGTTCAGGACAAAGAAACGCCGAACTGAAGATGAGTGGATGAGCTCTAATGACCGAAGGAGATGGTGTTGACAACATGCTAATGCTAACACAAGCTAAATGCTGCCGACATGAAGTCAGGAGGCTTTTAGCTAGCAGCAGAAATGAGTTCTGCTTCAGAGGTCAGAGGTCACTTCAGAGTTCGTCTGTAAAACTTCAGTTCTCCAAAACATCGGGAACTTGTGGAATTATTTTTACTAATTCAAATCTTTTTACACTAACTTTTATGTACACGTGCACAAATCACATATTTATTTTACAGGGTTACAAAACTGATTCACAAATACCAAATAAGACCCGTGTGTGCCTCCAGAACCACCTGAGGCTCTGTAACAGCTTAAGGAGCACAGGGAGTGGGCGTGTCACCAGTGGGCGTGTCCTGATGTGTGGTCCATCTTTCAGAGACTTTGTGGAGCACAACTACGTGACCCTAAAGAAGTCCAACCCAGACTTCCCCATCCTGATCCGGGAGTGTTCTGGAGTCCAGGCCCGGCTCTGGGCCCGATACGGTGAGTCCTGCTGCTTGGCACCGTGGGGACTGGGCTCGGTTCTTGGGACTGACTGTCTGTTTGTGTCCTCAGAGCTGGGGACAGAGAGGAGCGTCTCCGTGGACAACATGTCAGCGGATCAGATCGCCATCACTCTGCAGAACCTGGTCGGGTCCAAACCTTAAGCCCCGCCCCCTCTCAGCCAACCCCCTCAGTGTGTAGATCTGAATAAAGATGTAGCTGGTTCTGATGACGTGTCTCTGCTCTCAGTTTATCGGGTCTCTGCTTGGTTCTGGTGTCACTGGAACTGGTCTGGGTCGTGTTGTTGATTGTTGGTGGTTCTACTGGACCAACATGGGTCTGAACCAGAACTGCTCCGTATTTCAGAACCTGCAGCTTTGAGAACTTCTAACCAGAACTCTGAAAGGGTCCAGAACATCTGACCAGAACATCTGAACTGGTCCAGAACATCTGACCAGAACAGAGTCTCCCAGACTTCAGAAGAACTTTTGGCAACAAACGAGTCGGACTTTCAGGTAAGATGTTAAAACTAAGGTTGGGTCCAGAACTTTGACAGGGTTCCAGCAGAAACCAAATTCTCAGACAAACCGGGTCAGAACTACAGATCACTGTTGGTTTCCAGGTAAACTGGGTCATGGTCACCACCTCAAGTGTCATCCAGGTGGTCCAGGCTCTGGAGGGGCTGGGACCGGATCAACAACCTCCTGACTGACAGGCAGCTGTTCTCTGACGGACCGGTTCCAGACCTGTTCTGTGTCCAGTCTTAGTTGTCCTCACTGCACATCTGGACCTTCAGGAACTCAGACCTGGACTTTGGAGCAGAAACAGAACCTCATCCATCCATTTTCTTCCACTAATCCGGGGTCGGGTCGTGGGGGTAGTAGCTTCAGTAGGGAGGTCCAGACTTCCTTCTCCACAGCCACTTGGACCAGCTCCTCCGGGGGCATCCCGAGGCGTTCCCAGACCAGCTGAGATCCACCCACCTCTGCTCATCCCGAGCACTGCTCCACCAGAACTTTTTAGATGATTCAGCTGCTTCTCTGGTGGGACCGTTCGAGCTGAGCCGGCACCAAAACGTGACGCCAGAACACCCTCGCTCACTGATTGGTCAGGGGGCGGAGTCACTGGAGGAGTCACAGATCCTCCATTTGCAATTTCTCGTAACTCAGAGCAGCAGCTGGATCTATTTTAAAGATTTAAAATCAATAATGACATCACTGTGTTTAATTCTGAAGTCCAGGAGTTTGTTGTGTTTGGTGACGACAGAATTCAGAGCGAGCGGAGTCACCGCGGAGGATCATACGAGCTGCAGACCTGATGAAGCACGAGAGGCCGGACCCCGAGCCCCGGCAGGCGGGAGGACCGGGACGGAGGGTGGAAACGTTTTTTTAAACATCTAAAAAAAGTTCAATCTGGTCCTCTGGACATTCAAAAAAACAAAAAAATGTAGAAACGTTTCGTCTCTCATCCGAAGGACTTCCTCAGTCTGAGGAGCTGTATTCAGCTCAGTCTCTTAAATAGCTCCTTCTCAGAGTGGATCAACCAGTTTGCTGCTGACAACCAAAACCAGCTGCTCACATGGTCAAGAAGGACCAGCTGGTCAGCTGTGCAGTCGAGTCAACCTGTTGAACCAACCTGTTGAACCAACCTCAACCTGTTGAACCAACCTATTGAACCAACTTATTGAACCAACCTGTTGAACCAACCTATTGAACCAACCTATTGAACCAACCTGTTGAACCAACCTATTGAACCAACCTGTTGAACCAACTTATTGAACCAACCTGTTGAACCAACCTGTTGAACCAACCTGTTGAGTCAACCTGTTGAACCAACCTATTGAACCAACCTGTTGAACCAACCTGTTGAACCAACCTATTGAACCAACCTGTTGAACCAACCTGTTGAACTAACCTGTTGAACCAACCTGTTGAACCAACCTGTTGAACCAACCTGTTGAAGCAACCCGTTGAACCAACCCGTTGAACCAACCCGTTGAACC